TAGGAGAAACTGAATTACAGTAAGGTTAAATGAAATTACCAATGGGCATAAGGATAATAAATGAAATGTTCTTATCAAAAGGACAAGCAAGCATGTTTTTGTATAATTTGAGAAACATTTAGCTTATATAACATTGGCTTTAATTACAGCATTTTCTAATTTCTTTGATTAGTTGATTTATCTTTCTTTCACATTGATAACTATCTTTTGTAAGTATTATTCTTGCCAATGAATATAGAACAACACTTTTAAAATTTCTATTAAATACCTGAGCTGTAGCATCCTGCATGGCAACTCGGTCAGGCCTCAACTTCAAATATGATACACCTCTTTCTATATCCTATTAAAAAAAATAGACAGGTAAAAAAATAAAATCTGTAATTAAAAAGCCTCAATTTTTTTTTAGAAATATTGTGTCCATGTGCTCCAACATTCTTATAACTAGAGTACTAAGGTGTTACAGTATAGAGTGCACTGAAGAGAACAGAGAGACCCTATATGGTGTAAAGTCAAGGCTTTCTGATAAACCCTGCAGGAAAATCATTTTCAGTTTACATGTATCAATTGTACCTGGTTGGCTGGGTCATCCAGATGGGAATAGAGGATTTTTTCAGAGAGTGTCAATGGCCTGTTGAGCCTAAAAAGACAAGGAAAAAAATGTTTCAATATTAGGATTCATATCTTGTCTGTAAAAGAGATAGGGTTATTTCCAATTGCTTACCTATCACGAACTATTCTTATATTGTCTTCTAAGTGTTGGTAGTTTAGATGCGAGTCTGGCTCAAATTTACTCAAGGGCACCTGCAATGAAGGAAAATGACATTAGTACAATGTGGCAGAACAAAGCCTTGTTCACAACTTTATTATCATCAAAACTTTGTTAACATCTCTATTATCTTCAAAACTGAGAGTTAAGTCAATTTTGAAACAATATTCTTATGAGGTAAACTACCAATAAAGTTTGAAAACATTTCTGAAATTTCCTGCCTAAGTCATGCAAGTTGTACAGCTGCTCACATTTGCTTCATGTACATGAGGTAATTTTTTTACCACACAAAAACAAGAAGTTAACCTTTTGAGAAGCCACATATGATGTTGAGAAGAGTCTGCCATGACAGACAGCTGTTCGGACAGATAACACAGCCTGAAAAAAAATTGAAAAGCTAGAACATGAACATACAATGATTACAGAAGGTAAGGAGATACAGCTGTAAAAAGTCAAATACTACTAAAGGGAGAGGGAGGTGCCGTGGCCTCATGGATAGCACAGTCACTCCAGATCAAGTGGTCCAGGTTCAAGACCTGGCCACAGACATTGTATTGTGTTCTTAGGCAAGACACTTTACTCTAACAGAGCCTCTCTTTACCCAGGTGTTTAAATCGGTACTGGGAAATTTAATGCTGGGGGGTAACCTTGCAATGGACTAGCATCCCATCTTGAGGGGAGCAGAAATACTCCTACTTGCTTCATGCTACGGAAACAGAGGTTAAGTGCCAGTTTGATGGGCCACTTGGCTCTCATACAGACTTAACCTTACTAAAGGGAGAAACAGTTTACACTACACCTGGTGGAGATGCAGTGGATTCAAGGTTAACAAGCTAGAATTGGGGTCAAGAGCTGCAGGTTCGAGATGTTGCTAAGTCAATCTATTGTGTTATTTTGAAAGACACTATTCAATCTCTTACAGTGCCTCTCTATCCACAGGTATAAATGGGTACAAGGAAAATGTTGGGGAAAGCTGACCAAATGCAAGGGGGTAACTTGCAATAAACTGGTATCACATCCAGGGCATGTTGTACTGCTTCTTGCTGCTTCAAGCTAAAGAAACTTGGATAAGCTTTGGCTTGCTAAGTCACTCAGCTTGAGTTCTGACTTTCGTTTTTTTTGTGACTCTTTCAATATACTACTAAATAGGTGTATCTCGCAGACCAGCCCACAATCCTAAAGCCTGTAACAGTTTCTATATCAAGAAGTGATTAGAAGTATTGTTAATTCCCTTGGATGGGATCCCTGTACATTATATGGGATCCCTGTACATTATATGGGATCCCTGTACATTATATGATGTTAACTCACATTTACCAGGCTGCCCTGACAGCTCAATTAAACAGTGAACTTTGAATTTGTAAGTGATTCATTACAGTCTAGCAGTTAGAGCCTTTGAAGGACTTATTGTGTAGGTTGTAAGAATTGTGCTACAGTTGGCAGTGAGAGATCTTGTTGGACTAGTTGTGTACATGTACAAAAAATATAAAAAGTTCTAAGATCATTTTTGACATTAACATGTTCCTCTTTAGATTCCTGAATGGAGTTAGAGTAGAACTGTGTCAGGTCCCTGTTTCTTGCCTGAGAATAAAACACAATGACCCAGTCCAAACTCCACCTTATATTTATTATCCCAAAATACCTTGGACATGACTGACTGCATACCAGAAAAGATTCTTCATGAAAGATTTGTACTAAACGGCAATTCTTTCAGTTCAGACAACAACCCAAAACTAATAATTTTTCATCAAAATGCATTCAAAAGGTAGATGAAGACTTCAGCTAATACAACAAATGATCTCCTGGTTTCAATTATTTTGTTGAAGCAGACCTGATTGTGATGTAGCAAGGATTTGTGGGAGGTCAGGTATGGTAGTTTGATCCAGAATTTGAGAATGTTCGATGTAAAGGTACCTGAGGCTGATGAAATTATCCTCAGAAAACGATGACGGACTTGCATCACATATTGCCCTGAGTTTGAGCTACATAATTCCACGAATAAACTGTTCACATTTCACGCATTGAGAGGGAGAAAGATTAACACTTGTTAAATCTACAAGGAAGTTTTTAAATCTTTTACATATTTCGTCTGCAGTATTTTGACATCATGAGATAGAATTCAACGAAAAAAATTGCGTGTGTGTAAATCTAACGTGCTACAGCAGAACTTCTTTAGACACAATATCTGTAGTCCAACGGCTTCAAGTCGTTTTTATGCAAGAACAGAGTTGATATCGCCGATCGTCCACAAGAGTCAGGAATATAGGTCACGGTTTGGTCAACTTCAAACCCAGCGAATTTAAACTATTTTTTCTGCTTCCAACCAGCCATCGTTGAAAGCAAACCTTACCTTTCTGGCAAATACTCGTTGCATCTTTTGCAGACAGAGGAAAGTACCAGTGACAAAGGCAGAAGACGGTCCAAGCTTTATTATCCATTCGTCCCTTACCGTGTCTCTCGTATGTTTCTATTTAAAGCGCATGATCATGTATAAGTACCCGCTCCTCT